ATATTTATTTTTGTGTTAGTATTTACGTGATTTCGGTTCACTGACTCGTTGATCTAATATAAAATTATCATGTATTTTAGAGGTAAATTCTTGATTTTACGGATCAGATACCCGATTTGTTAATTTTGACGAGTTTTCAAATTGGGCATGAGTCATAAAATTACTCTTAATCAGGTATCCAACGACCTATCGACCAGGTTTTCTTTTTAATTTTATTATTATTTTTATTTTACATTAGATTTTTTATTTATAATTTCAAAATTATTTTACCCTAACGTTAGTATAATTTTTTTTTCAAATTATTTCACTTTAACATTTAAATTATTATTTTAAATTATTTATTTTAATCTTAAATTATTTTAAATTTAGTTATAATTTTATTTTTTATATTATATAATTTGAATTTACAAACTTTATATTTATGTTATGTATTACAAACTTTAAAATTTAAAATTTTATGTCTTTTCCATATGAATATTTCTAGAAAAATAATATAAACTAAATAAGATAAAATAAATACTAATAAAGTATCCATGATTTAAAATGTGGATAATTAAAAATACAGACATCCGGATGTGAACACCCTTAATATTGAGAGTGATATTTTATTTTTCTAATTGTTTGATTGAATTTTTTAAATTTTTTATATGACCATATTTTCGTTATTTATTGATTTTAGAATAAATAATTAAGTGATGTAATTAGTCTATTTAATTTTTTAGCTTTTTAAGATTCTAATTTTATTTATTTAATAAAATGATTTGTTATTGGTTAAAGTTTAAAATTACCCATGACGTGGAGCGGTGACAGCCCATGTTTTGTATGCACAGCAATCCATGCCAAATCAGCCAGACATGTAAACAAATAAATAAATATATATATATATATATATAAAAAATATTATTATTGGGATTTTAAGTAACTTTATTTGAAGATAAAGCCTTAATATTTTAAGTCATTGGTCGGTCACCGACAGGGTTGCATCATACGTGAGACACTCTTTTCGAGATTGCGAAATCATAGTGCCCGAAATTAATTATGATTTAAAATTCGTTATGTGTATTAGAGCTAATTAAAATATTCAACCTTAATTTCAAATTTAATTATTCAAATAAAAACATATTTAATTCTATCAATCAGGTTGAAATCTATGATCTACTTTGCTTATTTTTATTTAAAATTATTCAATATTTTTATTTAATAATTTATACTTTTAAATTTCAATATAAATTTTTGAACTCATCTTACTTAGTAGAAAATATATATCCTTCTTACCCTTAATTATTATAGTTAAATTTTTATGCGATAATATCCTTAAAACATCTGTTATTATATTAAGAAAATTATAATTCTTAAAATATATTCTTCTCGAATATATATATATATATATTAAAAAAAGGATAAACTACACATTTAATATCTAAATTATCAGTCTTCCTTTGTTTTGGTACCTAAACTTCTATTTTTTCAAAATCATACGTAACATTTAGTATTTATTTCATTTTAGTACCAATCGTTAAAACTTAACACGTTTAGTAACTAAACTATCAATTTTGGTCTATTTTAACACCTAAATTTTTAATTTTTCTCAAAACTTAACGTTAAAATTTGAATGATGTACTAAAATAAAACAAAAACTAAACTTTATGTATTATTTTGAAAAAATAAACGTTTAAATAGATTAAAATTAATAGTTTAAATACCAAATACTTAATTTACCCAAACTAAAATATAGTGGGTAAAATCCTAAAACAATTTATTTCGCATAATTGGACACTGAAATTGCATTTACAAACAAGGATGATACGAGGGGTGCTGCTGTACTACAAAAATGTTAAATTTCCATGATTTTTTTATTATATATATTTTTAATAAATCAATTTTAATTTTTTTAAAATACTAAAGAAAAATTATTTGTTAATATTTTTTTTGACATTAAACGTTTATATCTCTACACACGTGATGTTTAAATCCGATGTCTCAAATAATAAGATCAATTTCCAGATTGTTTATTTCATACATTTTCTATATAATTTCTTAGGTTTATATCATTTAACATAAAAATATGTTTGGTCCCTATTGACGAATGAAAATAGTGTTGATTGGTGGGTGGCATTTGACTGATTGAATGTGACGGGCGACATTCTAAAGTTTGAGATTGAAATGAATTAAAGCATTAGTGGTGAGAAACTAACGTTTGGTAGTTGCCTCAACCTATTGGCAGTTGCATTTATTCAATTTTTGGATAATGCCATTGTCAACCCCACACAAATCTAATAAATAAATATATAATAAAATCGATAATATTAAACACAAATTAGGTGTGCGACGTGGGTCGATTTGAATTAATTAAAGTAAAGCCTGAAACGGGAGAATAATAATAATAATATAATAATATAATAATAATAATAATAATGTTTTTGTTTGAGAAAATTAGTGGGGGATGGGGACTCCATCCTTTGCGATACAAAGTAGTAATAGAAGAAAGGGCATCCATCACATGCCATTGTCATACTCACCTCTTTACATCTCATTCGACCCAATTTCCATGGGGTTCTTTATGCCTTGACAGCCTTTTCATTTTTTCCACCAAAAGAAAATTTGGATTTGAGATAATTCATTCGCTCAAATTTATATATAAAAAATTCACAACTTTTAATATGAGTAGTGAAGTAATTAAACAATTTTTGGGTTTCATAAAATGAAAAGCTTGTAAAAAAATCTAATTTTAGTTTTAATCCCTCTACTATGTTAAAATTTGAAATTACTTTTATTTTTTTGTAAACCACCGGTATCCGATCTATTAATCGATTAACCCGGATTGAATACTGCAGAGGCAAGGGCTATACTCTCAACCCAATTTGCTCAATTTGCAATTGGAACCCTGACCTTACTTTTATAATAATCTATGTTAAAAAAATTTAACAAAAATTCTCAAATATATCATATATAATAATTAAAAAATAACATTAATAAATAAATTGAGACGAATTTCACCTAAATTTGATCTTAAAATGTTAATAAAAAATCGAACCTGCTCCAAAATTTAATTTAGAAAAAAATGAGCTCTATCCAATCCAATCCAATCAGAATTTTTTGACAAGCATAGACATAGTTTAGGCCCTTTTATCTTTGTAATGTTGGTATTAAATATTAGGCCTAAACAAAGAAAATTCATGTCATTATTGTTAACTGTAACAATTAATATTATTAATTCGAACAGGCTAATATTATTATAAAAAAAATTATGTTAATTCAAAGTATAGGGTTTAAATATGAAAATATTAGGAGGACTAACATCACAATTAGACCCAAACGAGTGTTTATATAAGCCTAGATGGGTGTTTCGTGGTTCCACATCATTTTCCATGTTTGATGTAATTTTTCTTCTTAAGATGATATAGTACTTTATTTGAAACGGTCCACAATCTTTCTAGTTTTCATTTTCAACCCCCAATTATTCACTTTCCTCTATCAATTTAACCGTCAAATAGTTCTCGTCTTCAAGATACAGAGTTGGTTTCACCTTGAAATGCTTAAAAAGAAAATTACTAGACCGGCCCACCAAATTAAATTAATATGACTAAATTAGGGCACCAATAATTTTCTTAATCATAGTTGATAAATTAACATCAGTTCAATAAAAAATAATATGCTTATTTGATTTGCCCATTAAATTAATTATTTTTAAATCAAGTACTGCAAAAATTTATTAATTGGGATAATCCTCCTATATATATATATTTGTTCTATTTACAACATTAAAATTCAATTTTTTGACGTGGTTAAAAAAGTTAAAAGTATCATTCCATTAAAAATGACTAATAGTTGATTGAAACAGATTAATTTTTTTATTAATGATAAAATTCAAACTTTCAGTCCTTCCAAAAATATATTAATTATTCATTCAATTTTTAAATTCAAATTTCCAATGAAACCAATTGAAGATCTCAGCTGTGTTGTTTTTTAAATTATAATTTCCTCATTATAGTCGTTATTTGAAAAAAAAAAAGCCAAATATTTAATTAAAATAAGTTTAAACGTGTGTGACTTCACTTGTATTTTTTTTATGTAAAACTTACATCAGAAATCAAATCAAGGTATAATACAAACGAAAAAATAAGGGCAAAAGAATTACTATAATTTTTGTTAATGCAAAGCAATTAGACTAAATGACATTGCATTAAGCATGCTCAACCAATAACCATCTTCTAGAAAATGTGATGTAGAACATAATCTTTACTTATTTAGTATTGCTTTTTGCATTTTTTAATTGAATCAGCAATGGATAAGCTTTGATTATCGTAGACATATCCAATCGAGATAAGTGAATATATATTTATATATTGTTTTATTATTTAAAATTTTAAGTTAGATTCATAAAATTTAAATAGAATAATAAATGATTTTGATTTAATTGGTTCTCTCTCTCTAACCATGTACAACAAGCATATTATTCTTTTCAACATATAAGATTTATAATCTTAATTGATAAAAATATATAAAATATATTCCAATTGGAAGACCAAATTAAAGAAAACACGAATGAGACTTAATTGGAAAAAGGAGAAAAAAAAGACGAATTGAATTTACGCATGGCATTGAAGAGCATGCGGATCAGATTTAATAAAATATAATTTAAAATGAACGAGAAATTGAATAAACAAAAAGGAAATCAAAAGATAAAATTACGAATTCAACCAAAAGTTAAGACCAAAATATCATTTTACTTTTCGATTATTCAAGCTTCGCAAAGTCGAACTTGAGATTCGAACCAAAAATCCGAGTTGACTCGAATTAGCTCAAATCAAATAACTTGAAATTAAAAAAAATGAAATCAATTTTTTATGAGTGGAAACAAGTTTATCATATATTAAAAACTTCCAGACTGAATTCAATATCTAAAGTTAGCTCGATACCAATTTGATCAAACAGAAAATGATTAGCAAGAGAATTAATATCCAAACATAAATGAAAGCAAAGAACAATGGAAAATTCTAAACAAAGCTTGACATCTCAACTCATCTCATCTATGGCATGAGGCCTTTCTAGAAAGTTCAATGAAATTTCAGCAGGTGACAGGACATAACTTACTCTACGTGTAGGCAAAATTCAGCGGGTTACTGTTATACCATAAGTTCGTCTTCGAGATAGTTATATTCGAACGTGAACTCGGTCTTAATTCTCTGACACCTGAATATCACAGCATTTTTTTTAAGAATAACATGTTAGCATAATCATAAGAGTTTAAGTGAAAATGTGATTAGACCATTGCAGGTATAAAATGCTTTTCTAAATAATTGAAAAGTTCATAATTCAAGGCAACTTACCATCCATGTTGGTGATCATCATTTGCTATGTGAAAATCAAAGTATACATACGTTCCCTGTTCAAATTCATCGGTCGCGATTTTCGGTTCCTCGTGCCGCTGAAACCATGTGTTATATTTTCTGTGGTATCTCCAAGATTGCTTCTTCAGCTCCTTTGCGGCCAGATATTGTTGGTAAGTATTCTGCACAAAATTTTACATGTGGCAGAGCTCACCAAGTTCTTGTATTGCACGAAAAACACAGAGAGAAGAAGAACCTATTTTACCTGTTGGTAGTAAAATGCAAAGAACAGGGTATCAGTGCCAGTGCCATATCCGTCGATGCTTAAGCGCTCCCAGAAGGCAGGATTATTCACAATGGGTGCCTGAACTTGAGGGTAGCTAGCAGGCGTTGCCGCAGGGTGCTTCTGCAGAGTACAAGCAAAACACCATTCTTTGAACCTACACATTTGTCATCTATCTTTTGAAGAAAAATGAAGATTAGTAGTATTCCTGTACCGGAATGAAGCTCCTAGCACGTTCCGAGTCTTTAGGTTGGGGAATTTTATAGTACGCGGCCTCGAGCATCTGCAAATTGTATAATTGGTCATGCATTCCTCCGGTATTCATTGAGCCACTGAGGTTGTCACCGATGGCACCAAAATCAGAAACACTTCTCCGGCCTATAACACCAAGACCACTAGAAGACTGGTTAGATTGTAAGGGTTGCCCTGGAGATAGATCAATATCCCTGATAACTTGAGCAGGTTCCACCAAAGAGCCTGATACAGCAGTCTGCAGCAAAGAACCATTGACAGATCACTTACGTCATTTTGATAGCTCACAGTTTTACGAATCAAAGACATGTAGAAGAAAGACATAATCGACTAACCGGACCATCCAGACTGCCAAATTAAGTGGCAAAGTTAATAATGATTCTAACAGAAGGAACATGATCACAGAAATAGTAACACAACAGATATAACACCTATATCAAGACACACAACAATAAGAAGTATTTAACATACAGGAGAACCAATTGAATGTGGAGCTTTCATATCATCCTCGTTTGTGAGATTCTTGGCAAGCACAGAAGTTGGAAAAGCTTCAGAACTTGAATCCTCAGGTAAGTTCTGGGGTGGTTGTTCCTCAACTTTTGCATTGCCAATATCTGCATGCAGAATAAGCTCTTAATCATTGTGTGTAAATCACTCCAGTAACAAGTATTCTAATGATAGCTTTTTCAATTCCAATATGTTAAAAAAGATATTCCACTAATTGCTCTGTGAAACATTATGTTGTAGTAAAAACAAAAGTTATTCTCCTCAACAAAGATTCCCTCGGTAATTATTTTCTTAAATGAACTGGTTTTACTGTGAAACCAAACAAGCCATAGCAAAAGAAAAAAAAGGATAGTGATAGAGACACAAAAGGAGGAAGTGAGTTCATAATCGGGCAACCTTCTACTATAAATACAATGATAAGAGATCACTCACAAATACCTCAAAGATCACCCTTCAGAAAGAATAAGGTCCAAAAAGAAAATTACGGAAACTGAATATTACCAGCATCCTTTGGAACACTTGTTGCCAATGCCTGCTGACTAGACTGCTGGAGGATGGAATTTTGTTGCCGCTGTAAGCTGGCAGCAGTTACGCTACTAAGGCCAGGTGCTTGGCCACCAAGCCCTAGACCCGGTTGGATAGAGAGTGATGAGCTTTGAGGATTGAACTGCCAGAATAAGATCATAAAAGATTATTTACTGTTTTCTTTCATGGGAGAAAGCTAACCAATTTGCAGTGCATAGATACATCATTCTTGTGTGATATTAAGTTATAAACAATCAACATAAACCTAGATTTGCATTTATCTTTACTTGTGATAAGTTGAACAACTTGGATCAGAGAAAGGAATTTGTCTAAGAAAAGAACCTGCTGCATGACCGGGTTTTGTAGTGCAGAAAACTGCTTAAGATTTCCTCCAGCGAGAAGCAGGTTGCTATGGCCTTGTTGCTGCACTTGTTGGAGCCGTTGCAAATATTTTTCCCTCATATCAGGTGCTATCTCAGTTCTTCCACGAAACTGCCCCTGAACATACAAACACATTAGCTACCATATCACACGACAAATGTACAGCATAGGTGGAGACACATGACAGACTAGCATACCAGCTCGTTTTGATTCTGAAAGGTGCTTCCAGGCCTCCATTGCATACCAGAAACCATTGAAGGGGAAAAAACTCTGCCAGGTATTCCAGCAGACTCACCAAGATTATTAGAATCAACAGATGCAGTTCCATCATTAGCCTTGGCTGGCTGAGGCAAGATCATTCTGTTACCAAGAGGGGACACCAAAGATTGCCCCATACTACTGTTCCCAAGTCTCTCATCGGCCCCCAAAATATTTCCTTTTGCCATGTCGGAGACCGAAGGGACTACACCAAGGGCTCCATTGCCAGATGCCACACTTCCAGAAACAATGGGAACACTAGATAAAGTCTGACTTGAGAGGCCTCCTCTACCCATGCCTCGTACTCCAGTATCGGCAAGAGATGGAGATGGTCTACGACCAGGGAAGCTTGTGATATCTTCTTCTTTTGTAGCATTTGGCACATTTACAGGAGATGACGGATTGCTGGTGCCTGTGCTTTCCAAAACACTTCGAGCAGGATTTGAGCCTGGAAGAACAATTGGAGGTGTTGAAGCAACAGACAAACTATGAGGTGACAGGTTCAGTGGAGCAGGGGTAGCATAGCTCCCAGTTGGTGTTGCTGCAGCAGAAGTATTGATGACACTGCTTTTCGAGGGAGGAGTCCTTGCTATATCAGAATTACTATCCTGGGAAGTTGTATCTTCAGCATGCTCCTGGGAGGAACTAACCTGCTGATTTATTGAAACATGATCATTTCTTTTACATCAATGTGAGCATCGAGACATAAACTAAGAATGAAACAACATATATAACACAACCAGCACATCTTTATAAACTGAGTCATTAAACATCCAAACGGCAGAGACAAGAGAACACCTACAGGCACTTGAGATGCCGATGATACCAAAGACGGCTTCAATCCAAGAATTGGTGCAGCCTGACAAACATAAAAATTTCCTTTCCAAGTTATTTTCCATGAGAGAAACTGTTCCACTAATTTTCTGTTAAAATATCACAAATTTATTAACCCATTTGATATTTTGAAATTGGTGAACACCATAAAACAAGATAGAAAGCTTTTTTGGCCAGATAAAGGATGGTTCATGAACAATTTTTTGGGAACCATATGCAAGCAACAGCATGTCACAGTAAGTTGTAATGTCACAGGAGAATCCACCATGGAAAAAAATAGAGTTTACCTTGGAAAGGGGGCCAATAGCAACTAGATCTTCAAGAGAATCTGCCTTATCTAAAGATAATGAGCTGTAGAGCTCATCAACATCACTAAATTCATCAAAGTCTTCCTACAAAAATAACTAGAATAAATATATATGTGCGACAGTAAAACCCACGAAATGTCCAAATGAGAGCATATTGATAATGTTTGTGTGCTAGAAAAAGTGATTAAAAGATAAATGGAAGATGCTTTTAACACCCAAAAATCACAGCAAAGGGAAAAATATCATAGAACAAAACCTGATTACGTTCTACATAATCGTCCAAGAAGTCCTTCACATCATTGACCTGCTCGGGACTCAATTCTTCGTTGTCCAATAATCTCAAAATCAATTCTAACTTCATTATATGAGCTTTGTGCCGTGAAATTGATGTCTCCAAATGTGTCTGAAGGGAAAAAAGAACAACAAAAGGACACAAAGTTACCTCAAAACAATGTATTTAGTCTCAAAATATATTCTCTTTCCATTTTACCAGTCTAGGAGGTTTTGTCTTTCCTTTCTTCACAGTCAGCCCCTCAATCTCAGCTTCAAAACTATCATTCTGGGATTCTAACTCCCCAACCTGCTCAGGGAAACAATTCATGTTACATTCTAGTTTCAACATATCACTAAGCCTAAGTGAAAACGTAATAATTACTCCATAACAGCATTATATACAGAGAAAAAAGGTCAAAACTAGTGGAAGTTAAAAATGACATTTTTTAAATACAAAAAAAATATTATGAGAATAACCAAAAACTTGCTGCGTAGAGCTGTTGCAGTCATCCATACCACATTGTTCAACCAATCCCTTGTCTCTGATTTAGCCTTCTCCTTCGGATCCTACAGTGAAATTGATGCATTGGAGATGATCAAACAAAATGGACAACATCAAGATTACATGCTTCCAATCAATGTTAAGTTCATAAGTGAGGTAGAAGATTTCAATGTGAAAAGGAATATATGATAAATTGACCAGGAAGATGCAAGAGAGAATTAGACAAAAGAAAGAAGAAGAAGATTGATCTTGTTCATTTTACTTGTTCATTTTACTACCAACTCACTTCCACAATTATGTTTGACTAGGATGGTTGCATATCATCAAACAAAAACCATGGTCAAGTATTCAATTAGACCAATTAGAGGTCTGTACTCTACTTACGCCCAGGATGAGCCACTTCATTTCCATTTTAGTTCACTAACAGCTAAGATATGAGGCAATGGCGCAATATGAAGTCGTAAAGCAGACTCCATATACGGGCAAAAGACTTGATTTGTATAGTTGTGGTTAACATTCATTAATAGGTAATAGAACATTGAAGGGTTATGCATGATGCTTACAGTTTTAGGTTGTTGGCCCAAACCTTCTTTAGAGAATGCTTTTGTCTTAGTCTCTTTCTCACAGATCTTAAACCTTTCCATTTCACGCTCAATTTGTTTCCGAGCATCCACCAGAGCCTGCTCATAAAAGGCACTAACCTATGTTCACAAATATCAAAAGGAAAAAAAGAATAATCATCAGTTTCAAAACACTAAGTACACAACACCACATAAACACTGTTTGAATATAGTAACAAACAAATGCAATCACAACTACAAGAATTATTAGATGGAAACATACTAAATCAAATAAACGATGCAAACAATCATTTAAAATAGACAAGTGAAACCAGAAACTGACTTTCTTATCCTTGATTTCACTTGATTGAATCCATGTCTTGATCTGGTCCCTATACCTTTGCAGTTTTTTTATTTCCTTCTTCAAGTCTGCCTCAAACTTTTCCTTCTGATTTGCATTATCAGTGTCATAAACCTAACACGACATACAATCCAAAAAGCAAAAAGTCACAATTCAATTTGCAGTTTTTCACAGTAGATAAACTAATGACCGGAACTACAAAACATCGTTCGATTCTTCAATACCTTTTTCTTCATTTTTTATTAAGAAAGAAAGGAAAACAAATTAATCATCAATAAATAATATTATTAAGTCATTTGAAATATTTCAAAGAACATTTCAGAAAGGATTAAGGCTGTAGCTACAGAGATGTTCGCTTCCATTTCACAGTAACTAAAGTTCGACTATCATTTAAGCTCTAATTTCCAGCATTTCGTCGGGAACCAAACAGAAAAAAATGAAAATACATATTTGCATTGATGAAAATTTAAGGTTAACCTTGTTCCAGATGCTATCGAAGACATCAACGCCTTCCTGGACCTTCTTCAGGACACGATCGATTTCTCCTTGAAGCTTGCGACTCGCTCCCATTGTTGAACCGGAATGTTTTTAAGACGAATTATGGAGAATTATAATCAATTGGTAGAATACAAAAACCCTAACAACGATTTGTTTTTCAATTTTAAGTGTGGAGTTGGAGATTGGCGTGACTCAGTGAGTTTCAATCTTTCTTTTCTAGGACATCCTAAATTAAATTGGGTGAGGATAAGACGATGGTATATATCGGGATTCGGGAGTGAACAAAGGAGGAATCGATACAACATCGTTTAACTAATGAAAATAAAAATTGGGCCGGGCTTATGTAAATCCAAATAATTCTTAGTTATTTACATATGATATAAAATAAAATCATTATTTTTTAATTAATTTAGAGTGATTAAGTGGTTGTATCAAATCTCCACTAAGAGACTCAACAATTTATCGCCGGGTGTGTAACACGGGACGATCAGATTAGTCACGATAAAGTTTTGAAATTGAGAGGACAATAAAAAAAGTGGCAATATCAATTTTAGAAACTCTCAACTATTTGAAAATGAACGCTCAAATATCATACGATCGCGAGTGCTCGAACTCATAACCTCTAGATATAAAAACCATCCCTTTAATCATCAAAGTTGCTTGGTTGATGCTAATAAATTAAAATTATTAATCAACCTTGTAATGTATTAATAGAAAATTTTATTTTAATTTTATTTGACCCTAAATTTAAATTTAAAATACATATTTATTTAGAATTTATAACATGTAACCTATATCTATCTATATATTAAAAATTTACGAGTACAAAATTATAAAATTTTAAGTGTATAGAATTAAATCAATAATATAAAATAAAATAAAAACATAGTTAATCATGAAAATTTAAAATTTCCAAAAAATTATCTGCCCTCTATATCTCTCAATTATATATGATCTCTATTATCTATGTAATAGTACCAACTCTACAATTATAATATTTAAAATTTTATTATTAATCAAATTAAAATTATTCATTTCTAATTTAATTTTGTTTATCCATATATTATTTATATCATTCTAAAATTTAAAATGCGTCAAGCTCAAGTAGCTTTCATGGATTGATTGTCTACAATTATATATCACTATTAACTTCAACTTTTTTTCCTATTATATCATCTAATTTTTATTTTTTTATCATTCAATTGTTAGTTATATAACAACAATACCAATTCATGCATCTTGAGCATTTTTATATATGCAATTAATCTAATATTTTAATCTTCCACTTTTCCATGGCTGAAATCTAGCTATGCAACTTCAAGGCATGGAACTAAGAACAAAAGTAAAATCACATCTATTATGTTAAAATTAAAAAGTTTTGATGTACAAAGATGAAAGCAAAGTCTTTGAGCACTTAATGCTCTAATCAGTTCGATCCATGTTTTCCTGCATATCTAATGTTTTAAGAAGTTGCATGAAGCTAAATCTATCCTTTATTCAGTTAAAGGTTGGATGGATTTTGGTTTTTCAAGCTGATCATAGGTGAATCAGAAAGAGCGGCATTATCTTCTCCGAGTCTCCTCTTCCGATGAACTGCGATCGCTTTTGGTTTCTCTAGCTACGAAGATCGATCGGTCCTTTTCAGTTCCAGCTGAAGGCCATTCAGATCAAACTGTTTGCAGCTTGAAGCCGCATCATTGTCTTCATGGAGATTTAAGTCCAGCTTTGTCGAAAAATAAGGTAATCTATTAACTGTTTGAAGCTTGAAACTCTCTTGATCCTCTTTTCTGCCATTGTTGTTGGGGTGCCCTTTTTCTCCTTGTAGTCCTACACTCATGGATAAATCACCGGTGCAACGGCCTGTTTTGATGTCGTTGAACGATTTCAGCTCGGCTTGCGGTAGCAACCGATCTTCCGGTAATGAGCTGGGGTTGTATATTCTTAAGCAAATCCCATTGTTGTGTATTTCTTGCTCTTTCTGAGATACATCACATGATGTCAAGCAACTATCCATTGAACAATCAGTAGGTGGAACTGCTTGTGTTAGACCCTGCTGGGGGCATAAGCCTTGCAAGTCTTTCAAGTCCGAAAATGCCGAATTCAGGCATTGGTTGGACACTTCGGACACCAATTCAGATAGCTGAACTTTGGCTGCTTCGAGACCCATGTTACCCGAATTTTGTTGTCCAAGTGTCTCTTGAGCTTTCTCCAGCACTGCCTGTAAGTATTTCCCTTGAGCCTCAATACGAAGCTGTAAATGTCGCTGCACCTGGTTCCATATCGAACTTATCAGACCGTGGCATAACTAAAACTCCTAAAAAAATAATTTCCGAAGGAATGTTATCATGTTATGTACCTCAAGCTGTTCACGTAACCTTCTCTGTGCCTCAATTTGCATTTGCAGCGCTTCGCCGATTTGTAAGCCTCTGCAGTTCATGAACACCAAAATCGATACATAAAAAAACAGACGAATGAATGTAAAATCTCTATATGAAGGCTAGCTCATTGATCATCTTACTTGTTTGTTTGAGGTCCAATACTCAAGTTATTCATGTGATTTCCATTTGCTTCAGACATTCTATCTCCGGTCGTTGCAACCGCGCCTATAGCGATCAAGTTAATATTTTCGATCATCAAAAATGAAAACTCTTAACTGGAAAGTTAATCACTCTCATCTTACCTATCTTGTTATTTCCATTATTAGCTTGTCCATGAAGATTTTTACTGAGTCTATATTTCTGCAGCCAGAAGAAGGGATCCGATTAGCCCTTGTAAAACATAAACTAACTCGTATTCACGATGTCAATTAATTACCTGAAGATGACTCTTGAGATGGTATAAAGTAAGGCCAGGAATCCCCATTAGTTTCATTACTGTTTTAGGTGTAGCCTCTGCAACATTAGGGGAAAAGGTACAGTCATTTGTATTAGCCTAGGGCGATTTATGCATGGATTTGTTCGAATCCTCATTAATTTCGTGTACTCACTATCGGCACCTCCAAGCTGATTGACGGCTTCGATGAACCGCTCATGAAGATTGGGCGTCCACTTGAGTCTTGGTTTGGCATCGGTCGAAAGAACGAGACCGGAATCTCCGAGGCCATTCCCTACTTGCAGGAACAAATGTCTCTCAGGGTGCATGCTCTTCCCTTGATGTTGGTACATATTTTCTGCCTCCAAAAAGTACTCAAACATGTAAGTTAAACCTTCTTGTTGAACCAACAGAACTAAATAACCATTCACGGCTTCGATTTTGTACCTGATCCAGCCGCTTCGATCTCTAATCTTTGATAATCAATCTTACCCCGACTATATTTCAGCAGGCTTCTCAAGTTCCCACAAGGCAAAGATAACCCCATGCAGGGCTTTTATAAAGCAACAAAAGGGAGGCTAATGAGTAGTAGTGCATTGAGAAGGCATAAAAGCTGGGGCACATCACACAACTGATGGAACAACCGGACCGAATCCAAGACAGTGCAAAGCACATACACATATACATATATGTATGAATATATGACGGGAATTCATATTCGTATTCGTCCTTACTGGCAAAGGTAAAGAATCATATCCCAAGATATAAGAGTTTGGGGAATCCACTATGTAGAGGCTCAACCAGCTCCATGGACTCAGTTTCAAAGGAAGATTCTTCAACTCTAATACCTTTGTTCTTCACCTTGTTGTAAATGTATGCATGACAATGAAGTAATGAGGATGTAAATTAGGGATTTTAGTGTCACAGTGATATGCAGATGGAGACATAAACAAAGTCTTTAATTGGTTTTTTATTTGGGGATTTAGGGGCGGAAGGTTCTTTTGACCGGTTCATCTAGAAGCCTTGTGTTTAGATACATACAAAGGGAAATAAACGAACAAACAATGGGAAAGAAAAGAAAGATGCTTTTTCTTGGAGATTGTTTTGAGGGCAATGAATGGAATATTGGAATACATTCCCTTTTGTTTCCTTCTGTAGGTTTTTACAACTCCTTTTAAAAATATATCCTGTATCGAATTCACTGTAACTGATAAAAGATAATGTTTTCTCCTTAGAAGATTCGAATTTGAGCAATTAATTTCGTAGGAGATGCATTAAAAAACTATCTCATATAGGATATATTTAATTTTCGGTAATCGTAAGGAAGGGATCCAATAGGCAGAGGGCAGTCTTAATGTTCGAATCATAATCAATATTGAGGGCACTATGAAAAGAAAGAAAATTATTAAAAAGAAGGTAATTGTACTTGCTTGCATTTTGTTGAAATAGATTATTATAATTCCATGGCCTTGCAGATGACAACTTGCCCCTTGACTTTGTGCCTTTTGTGCTCTTTCCATGATTCTCTTGTCTGAATCTATACGCTCTTCTTTCTCTATTTGATCAACTTTCTTTTATATATATATATGGACAAGATCCAATTATTCTGTGTAATTTTTTTTTAGTTTTACACATTTTTAATAATATCGGAGGAGAGAAATTAAAGGTTGAGATTAACAATAGAAAATAAAAATATATTCACTCGAAAACAACGAGTTAATCTTAGACTTTGATTTATCTCAATCCAATGGTCATAAAAAGATGTAAAACTCTTAATTTTATATTGGGTGCAAGTGAATCCTAACTATATATATATATTACATAGTGTAAAATTAAAAAGTTTTATACCTTTCTAGGATCGAAAAAATAAGCTTAGGGGGAAAACATTAATAGGCTTGATTAGGTAAACTCCAATCTTTGTACTTCTTGTGGTATTGATTAACCGATCGCCCTTTTTGTATATTAACAATATTTCTTTTCAATGATCGATAATTGTTTTGTAGCAGACATTACTTCTTTGGGTAATAAAATTTTTTGATTATCCAAAAAAAAATTAAATGTTGATATTAATAGTAGGAAATAATAATATATTTATAGAAAAAATGATTTAATCTCAACTTTTGATTTTTCCTCATCTAACTATCCTAAAAGGGTGTAAAACTTTAGTGTAAGTAGATCCTAACTCTTTTTTATATATATGATCCAATTGTATAGTGTAATTTTTTTTAAATTTTATACATATTCAAGATTGTTGGATGAGTGAAAATAAACAGATGAATGAAAATAAACAGATGAGATTAACGGTAGAAAATGAGAAAATTATATCCACTAAAAATAAACAATGAGTTAATCTCAACCATCTATTTTCACTCTTTCAACGGTCCTAAATTTGTATAAAACTAAAATAATTCTACATTGTATAAGTGAATTCTAACTCATGTGTGTAAATTGCTTAAATGAATGTATCTAAGAGCTCATGCAAGCTCATCCTTTTTCCTTTCTTCCTGCATGAACCAGCACGTAGAAATTATGGGGACTATGGGTAAATCATGCAGGCCAAGAAAATTTCGTTATTTTTTTGAAGTACTCGTATTCGACACTCTATTTGATGCATATCGATATGGAAAAACTCTTCTAGCATTAAAAGCCTTGCAAATTTTTTTTTGAACATACTCGTATCTGAAACCAACACTCGAATTCGAATAACATAGTGAGCTGCTGTTGGGAACTGCAAGTTCTTGATTTATGCTGTGGTACCGCTAAAGCTAGCATGGCACTGGGGATGTTTGGATAGGAGAATGTGAGATTTTCATGGGAATGAAATCTACATTCTCCCGTTTGGTTAGTCCGAGAATCTCATTCCCGGTAATGTAAGATTACCAATAGTGAATTTTTGGGGTATATTACCAAGAATGTCATTACCTCCCTTTCCTTACGTATTGTTGGATTATCGGTGTTTTGGACTAATATGCCCTTAAATTTTTATTTTTTTTCAAAAATATCATTCTTCTGTCATTGAATAATAAAAATTCTAAGAATGTTAAATTACAAATTTATCCTTAAATTATTTTAGATTTACAAAAAAAAGTCTATAATTAAAATTTTATTTAAAGTTCAGGGGTTAAAATAAAATTTTACCCTTTCATTAAACTTTTTTTATATTTTTAATTTTGTAAAAAAAATATATAATATTATGAATTTAATTTTTAAAGAAAAAATATAAATATTTTCCAACTTGTAATATTATAAAAATATATAATAAGGACAATTTGGTCAAATATACATTCCAATAATCTTTTATTTTTTTAACTAAACACGGTAATCTTACATTCCTGCTAAGTCAACCAAACACAAAATACAACATTCCCAGTAATCTTATTCCCTGGTAATCTTACATTCCGTGAACCAAACGCACCCTGAGGGGATCGATCCAATCTTTGACAATAACTAGGAATTATACCATACCAATTTAAATATACTAAAATTAAATAAAATGAAGAATAATTCCATCATGATCAAGAGTTAATGCAGAATAAATGCGTAATATTAGGTTATCAAGGACCAATTCTGTGCCAAATCATATAAACCAAGAAACAAAAAACAGTTGATGAATATATATATATAAGCAGGATCTGTTCACATCCTGTATAATTTTTTAGTTTTATATTTTTTAAACATCATTATAGGATTGAAAATAAACAATTGAGATTAACAAAAAAAAATACTGATATTAAAAAAACAATAAATTAATATTGATCGTACATTTTCACTTATCTAACTATTCTCTTTTTATTAAACTAAGGCGACTACAAGGTAGTCTCCGTTCTAAAGATTCTAAATCATTTGACAATAAATGTTTAAACACATTTGCATACATTGATGTTCGAACTCGAAATTTCTATGAACAACAACCTCCCTTTAACTATTGAAGTAGCTTGGTTTTTATAATCATCCAACTATTTAAAAAATGTGTAAAAATGAAAAGATATATATATATATATATATATAATGTTATGGTGCAGTTTGGGAAAATCTAATATCAATGCTTTGTGCCTTTTCACAAAAGTATTAAAGAAGAATCCCTAAATAGTTTGCTGGCATGTGGGATTGGAATATTTTGCACGAGAGGCTTTGCTTCATATATAAATCAACTCACTTTTCATATTTAATTTTCTTATACAATAAATTTTAATATCTACAAATGGACCATATATATATATATATATACACTAAAAATTTAATTACCGAATATGAAACACATGATATATGATATTTATATTTGTGTTTGAATTTTAATTCGAATAAATTTGATGGGTACATTTTTAATGACTAAAATGACTATGAACAATGACATCTTACCCATGTATAGACCATGTGATGTAGCAGCTAAAAGATGATAATTATCCTATAATGTTTTTGAAGTTTTCATATGTATAATTTCCCATTTATCAGTTGTATTATGTTGACAGACAAAAGTAATTTAGCTCAGACAAGAAAATGTACTTTAATTTTGATGTCTCAAAAGTACAAGTACCTTAGCCTACTTACTACTACTTTATTTCATTATCATTTTTTTAATATTTAGTATATAATATAATTCATTTTTAATATATATGTTATATGCACGAATCAACTTACTTCAGTGGTTAAAGGAATCGTTGTTGTTCCTAAAAGTCATGGGTTCGAGCACAAACAATTACAACAGGGTGATTAAACATTCATTGTCAAATGATCGAGATCCCACGGTGAATTAAAAATTGGATATATATTGGATCCCACCAGAATCACCTCATCTATCCTCATGAGGAGAAGTTTGATTTCAAACACCGGTTCGAACAGGAGAAGTATGTCATGCTAATGTGTCTTGGATGACCCCACATCTCAGGATCAGGCGCTGATGAGTATATTGACTTATCTATGTGGCTGAGAACCCTCACATCCCAGACACAACGACGCAATTATCAGGGGCATGCTCTACCATTGAACTAATTATTTTAATTTAAATATTCACGTATTTTTATGTATGATGAGTTGAAAGAGGTAAATTTAAGGGGGGAATCACATAAATATTTTAAATAAAATAATTAACATAAATTTAATTATTTAAATTGATGAAATTATAAAAGTAAAAAATTCAAATTTTACCCAATTAAAATATAGGGACTAAATTTCAAATTTGAGCATAAGTAGAGGTGGAACAAAATGTGACAAGATCTAAAGCAAAAGAAAAATATGAATTTTGCATTCAGCCATTCAAATTTGAGTTTCTAATGAAACCCCAATATTTTTGAAAATTTTAATTGGGATTTCAAAGTTATTGTAGATTCTCATTAGTCCTCCTAAAATTTTAAAAACAATTAATTAGATCCTATTTTCTAAAAATATCTCTCATTAAACCCTTGAAATTTTATATATAATTTTTTTTAAGCCGTCATTTGCTATCATGTCGCGATCGAGAACACGTGTAACCGATAGAAAGTGAGAAATGACCACGGAATGCTATTCCTTTGTGGGGAGGAAAAACAAAAAGATTCTCAAAGAATTAGAATCTAGGAATCTGAACTCAAACTAGAGCCAATAAGTCATATTCTCAGAGCCTAGGAATTTTAATTCTTAAA